GAAGCCTTCATATGTTTCACTTTCATAATGAGTAATTGATGTTAATCACCATTTTCTTGATGGTGGCTATATTTATCTTCTATGCTTTACTTGATGTTTTCTATGAAAAGAGTGTGAGGAACTAGACCAACATTCAGATTTCATCATTTTTTTAAGTTTAAAATTTGGCTTAGTTTTATTGGTTTATAGAGAGTCCCAAAAGAAGCTTTAAAAGCCTTGAAATTCAAAACAGGAAACATCAACGTTCTTGGACTTCTTATTTATATCAGATTTGAATTACAGAAAATGTGTTTTGAAATTCCAGATTAGTTCATTGGTATATTGCTTTGAGTTGATTATCAAAAAGGATTTAATATAATCTGTTAAAATGGAGAATGTAAAAGCCTCCTGCACTTAATGTGGGGGTAAGGAGGTGTTGATGTAGTTGGGGCCAGAATTCATTCATTTTGCTGACATGGAAGCATACCTTATTTATCAGATGGGTCCTCTCCCTTCTGTGGTCTTAACTCCCATTCATATTCTGACATCTTGTCTTTCTTACCAACATCCACCTTCCAGCCTCGGAGAAATTACTGTAGTCCCATCTCCAGGGGCTTGTGGACCCAAAGTCAAGCTGGAAGGGTAGACAAGAGCTCCCTCAGATCCTGCAAAGATTGTCTGTAACCTCAGATTGTGCTCAATTTTCCTTGGAACATTCTTCAAGACATTTTGAAGAGAGTTCTGATGGTGAGCTGTTAGTAGCAAGCAAAGTCAAACTTATTACTGGTATGGATATAGAGAGAAGTTATGCAGGTATACAGAACAGCTATCTGAGCATAAGTATTCTTCTGTTTTTCTCAGGGATTCCTATGTTTAAAAGGTTCCTGCTCAAAGCCAGAAAATCCACCTCCTCCTGCTAGAAAAATATGAAGGATATGCCCTTCCCTTTCCCCTTTTCAGCAAAATCTTCCTCCACGGTCTTTATCATAAGACAAGATTAACTAGTACTATTATTTCATGAGACTTTTCACTGACTGAATGAAACAAATTTCTTTTGTAATTTGGGTTTGGGTTTAGGTTTGATTTGTTGGTTTTGTTTGTTTGTTTTTCTGATAGAATAGCCAAGCTTCAGATAGGTAACGTGAAAAAATGTAACAGAGTTAGAAAATTACACTAATGTTAATCAATTAAAGATGAGTGTAAAGTAAAAGGAAGGGTAACTTCATAGGATAAAATAAACATAACAGAAAAGTTAAATTAAAAGGGAAAGATACAAGTAAATTGAGTAATAAGATACATCCTTCCATGCTTTCTATGTAATTAGTTTTATGGGAGTACAGGGAAAAAGAAAGCAAAAAGTCACCAAGCAACCATCTGTTAGCAGCCAAATCTTCATCCAACTTTCCAATAATTCTCCATTTAGATAAGGAAAAATTATTTTAGTTTATTCAGATGATCTATCAATTTTGTGTGTGTTTAAAAAAATGTATGGTGTCCCAGTTCACTGTATAATGGGAAAGAAAAGCTGAGAAAAGCAAAATACAGTTAAGTATGACTGATGTGGAAAGGGCCTGGAAGACTCAACAGTTTAAGAATATCTCCTATTTACCCATCTATATTCCAAACTCCAGATTTGAGATTGTATAACAAAATGATCTCAGTTCTTTCCAGGGCATTATAGTTAACACAGGACTGGAAAAAAAATCCTCAGTTGCCATTCACAAGCTGTTTTTCTTCCTCACTACTCCATGTCCTCACTCATTCTTTTCCTTTTCAATGTAGCAACATAATTAGTTGAAATAAGGACAGCCACCATTTCACCTACCACAGCAACAAGAGAGCTTGTGAGCAGTAAAATGAGCTGTGAGTGCATCCTGGAGGGAAGGGGGAGGAGCAAATTGTAACTTCTTTTTTAAACTTGGGATATTACTCTTGTACACAGCTTTTTTATAGAAAAGTGGCTAATACAGATTCAACAAACAAGAAGAAAATTACCACAAACATTCAGTTAGAAATGATATGTTTGTGTGTATGTACATATGTAAATACTGTTGGCTATTTTGTTGTAATTTGGTTTTTTGTATGTTCTTGAATAATGACATTTTTTGAGCTAACTTGTAAACTTACTTCCCTGAGGTTGAAATCTGGAAGCTCCAATACTCATTACAGTCACTGCTGGCAAAGTATGCTGGTTTTTTAATTATCCCAGAGCTGATTCATACGTATGTTGCTTAGACTTGAGTGTTTCTACCAATAATCATAGAATCATTTAGGAAGGAAAAGACCTTTAATATAATCGAGGACAACCTTAAACCTAACACTGTCAAGTCCTCCCCTAAACGCATGTCCTCACGCAACATGTCTACACACTTTTTAATGTAACTAGCAATAGGATGAGAGGAAGTAACTAGTGATAGGATGAGAATAGACTGACCCCTACCTCAATACAACCTCCTTTCAGGTAGTTGTAGAGAGCATTAACATCTCCTCTCAGCCTCCTTTTCTCTAGGCTAAACAACCCCAGTTCCCTCAGCCACTCCTCATGGGACTTGTGCTCCACACACTTCAGCAGTTTCATTGCTCTTCTTTGGATGCATTCCAGCACCTCCATGTCTTTCTTGTAGTGAAGGGACCAAAACTGAACTGGTGCAGCCTCACCAGTGCCAAGTACAGGGAGATCTCTTCCCTAGTCCTGTTGGCCACCCTATCTGTGTTAGAATCCAGGATGCCATTGGCCTTCTTGACGATCTGGGCACACGGCTGGCTCATATTCACCTGACTGAAAAAAAAATTATAAAGGGTAGATTTAGATTAGATATAAGGAAGAAATTCTTTACTGTGAGGGTGGAGAGGCACTGGAACAGGTTGCCCAGAGAAGCTGTAGATGCCCCATCCCTGGAAGTGCTCAAGGCCAGGTTGGATGGCACTTTGGGCAACCTGGTCTGGTGGAAGATGTCCCTGCCCATGGCAGGGGGGATGGACTGGATGATCTTTAAGGTCCCCTCAAATCCAAACCATTCTATAATTTCATGACTGTAGTTCTATCCCTATTTTTTTTATCAGTAGGCAATGTATTCAGGGACTAGAAATCTGGTGTTTCTCAGCATGATAGAAATTTGTAAGGAAAAGAATTGCTAGTCCCATTCTAGGCATTCAGTGAATTTCTGGGAGCAACTGTTGATTCAGCTAACATAGCTTCTGAAGTTCACTTCATTTACACATCACCCACTATCACATATGTGGGAAAGGCAGCCTTGAAAGCATTATATATCTGTATACCAGGGCACCATCCCTTGTCTGGTTTTATAACCACAGATAGTACAATTTTTCTACAGTAGGCTCATGTTTTTCCTCCCTTCTTTCACAACTATTTCTTCCCCTCAAGCTGTTGCCTCTTTCCTTTCTTTCCTTTCTTCTTTCCCAAGAATCTTCTAGAAAACAGTGCGCTGTACTTTAATAACAAATCCTGCAATCAGGGTAGCCCAGCACTGACTCTGTGATGGCTCTCCAAATAAAGTTGTGGTAATGGAAACTCTCTGGTGATGGTAGTTTTCACAGAAGTCTCACCTGCTTTGAAATGCTGGTTGTGCTACCCATAGAGTCTGTCTGATGTAGTCCTCAAAGCTATGTGTCTTCACATAGTATAGGAACAGTTTTATTGGAATAGAGCTCTTAGCTCTGAACTGAACTAAGAAATTGAAAGTAAAATGTGTAAAAAGCTTATGGATATAAAGGAGAAGACATAGCCTCAAGGACAAGTAAGCTTATTTCTGCAGAAACATGGCCTAGGTCTGCAGTGAGAAGCTAAGCAGTAAGGAAAACTAAAACTCAGAGGTGTAGATCAGAGAAACATGGAAAAGGGACATTAGTGAGGTATGTACCACTCAAATAGGACAATTATGCCTGCATATGAGGCTGAGAAATAAATGGGTTGAAATAGGAAAATATTTTCTTTCTCACAGAAGAGCTAGTTAGTGTTCTGAACTTAAGTGATTATTATCTTTGGATGATAGAGAATGCCAAAATAAATATTTGAGACCTGCTTATCTTTAATCTCATGCAAACAACTGAAAGGCAGATCTGCTTTCCTTTTCTCAGGCCTGCAGACAGCAATGATTGTCTTTGCTACCATGAAATATTTTGCAGCAGATCTTAAAAAAGTACATAAATCAAACAGCTATCAACAAAGTATATATACTTCCTTTGGCATATTCACTTGAGTTCTGCTTCTCAACCTGGACTGGTTCTGAGTGGTTTCTCCTGGATGTTCAAGAAAGGGCCATCTACAGAATAGCCCACACAGGAATCTCTTAAGTGGCCCTTAGTTCAGCTTAGAGAAAGGCCTATCCCTGGAGGCCTTGTCAATCAAACATAAAGGTTGAAGTATGACTTCTGGGGTTTTCCTTGTGCTGTAGTAATTTTGTTTCTTATTTCAGGAGATCCACACAACCACATTTCTTGGAAGGTTCCCATAGAAGTTGCAAGATTTTACTTGCTACCCCAAAAGGCTAGCTATGGACTTTTATGGAGCCAGGTCACCTTATATTTTTTACCTGGATTTTACCTGGTTCTCCTTGGCTGTAACCAAAAGAGGGGAAGAAGTTTTCTAAACAAATAAACCAGAAGATACTATCATATTGCTGCTGTGATATTTCCCAGTGGCAAAATTTGGATCCTAGTCCTATTTCCTATTTTTATTAAGAAGGATTGGCTCATTGGCCCAAATTGCTGCCTTCAAGACACCTGAGGAATCTCATAAAAGATGGATATGCTGTATCACACACATGTGGGTTTTTCAGTACTAAATTCATGGAGTGGTTTGCTATATGTCTGATGAAGACCTCCACAAGCATGTAAGGCAATGTGTTTTGTGGCCTGGGGATGATCTCTCTTGAGCCCAGCTCCTCTTTTTTGAAAGCATATTGCCTGTGGACATAACACTTTAGCACAAACTGGACTTTATGCCTCAGTTTCACCTCTTCAGGCCAGCTAGTATATACCAAAACTAAGCCAATTGAGCAATGTGGAAAACAGTTGACTTAGAGCCTGAGTTCAAAGACAGAATTATCATGAAATATGAATACAGAAAGAAAATCAGGGAAGAACTGGTGGTATGGGTAGCACTGTAGTTGTGACAGACACATGCTTTATATTCTTATGCTTTGAATGTAAATAAGGAATTTTTTTCATCTGTGTGTTTGATTTGATTGTGTATTTGATTTGGTATGTTACCAAAGACTGTATACGCTAAAAGGCTGCCAGTTGTAGTTATAAAAAGTTGCAGTAGATTGAAAATATTAGTGCTTAAGAGATTTTAGAACTGTCTGTTTCCTTTCCACAGCTATTTTCTGCTGGAAAAATCACAGACAACAGAGTAGCTGAGCTGAAGGGAAAGTACACCCAGCTGCATAAGACTGTGATAAGGTACAGTATTTCTTTTTAAAACTTTGTTTAACCTTTAAGGCAATTCTGCTTATGAGAGAACCCTGGTTGTTCTGTCTCTGAAACTAAGGCCTAATTTAACGATTGTAAAACTAATTCAAGTCATATCTCCTTTCTTGAGTTATGCTGGGATTTGTTGTGCCTCCTGGCAATCTCAATGGTGGTAAGTACTAAGTAATATAAAGTAAAATCCTGAAAACACAGTTGTTCTTGAGGTTAGCTGAATTTTCTAGTTTCATATTAATAAAATGGGCAGTTAGAATATGGCCCTGACACCGTAAAAAGTAATCTGACTCTGTTCAGATTACCGCATAGCAAATATTTTTGGGAAGCAAAATAAAAAACAGTACTCCTAAACCAGTTCTTCTCCCTAGAAAATGCAACAAGCATTTTCTTACTGTTCACAACTCAACATATTACGTGGATTTTGGGTTAGTTGATTCAGAAGACTTCTACCACATTGATGTTCACTGAGCTGAAGTAGAAATCCAGTAACTGCTGAACTTAATGGACTTTTAGCCAGTGTTTAAAACCAGCCTTTGTTTGGAAAAAATACAAGCATATTACTACCTATTTTATTTTATATATGTATATATAATTCTTTTATATAGAACATTCTTTTAGGTAAGGACAATTCCTTTGTATGTATAATAAGTGAAATATGGCCTGAGCGAAAACAGCACTCAGCTGTCTTTTGTGTCACACATAAAACTACTGTAAACACCATGCACCAAAAGCATGAAAATGTTAGATGGTACATTACATCTCTCATTCTTTCCATGGTTCTCATAGGAGTACGATATTGCCATACTTCCGTAAAAAACGTTGATCGGAGAGATTCATGTCACTTTATTTACTATAGATGTAGTCACGTGTCAAAGCAAAATGCCAGTGCATGAACCAGTACTAATTCCCACAGATAAATTCCTCTTACTGCTAAAAGCAAGCAAGGGAAATCAATTACCAAAAATTGATCAGTATCTCCAGTATGTTTTAAGGACTTTTCAGACATCAAAAGTAGGATTCACTTGTCCATATGTTAACATGAATTTTAATTTTCACGTGACAAAATACTGTTGGCAACTATAGTGAGCAAGATCTGGTCTAGGTTCAACACTTAGTTCTTGTTTCTACTTTTATCTTTTTATTATCTTGAAAAAATCAATACTAAGAATTTTGGATTTATGGAAGAACTTATGTTTTTATGTAATTTAATGTAAAATCTATGTTTTATGTAAGTATTATTTTTGAAATGAATATGTATTACTGCAACCAACTATATTTTCCCCTAAAACAGCATATATTCTGTTGGACTTAAAGAAGATCTAAATATTGTATAGGATCTTATATATCAATAAGTCATCTTAACAAGTTACTAGTTACTATGTAAATATGTCACATATGAAGTTATTTGTTCGTGATAAAGGCACACTCTTGTTTCCTGTTGAAGTCTGTGGTTTTCTTATTTTCTGGTTTAAAAAAGGAAGTGGTTCTCCAAGTAGAAATGTTACAAAAAACAAAACTTTTCTACTATATAATTTCAGCTATCTTTATGCAGTATAGACATTTGTGTGTTTTGTGTTTTTATAATTACCATCGCAACTTTATTCTTCAGTGTGATATGTAATTTTGGTTTTGTTGCTAAGCCATGAATATAATCTTTGAGTTAAAATTTATGTATAGGGCTTCTCAATATGGGAGATTCTAAATTCCTTTGTTCTAAAGAATATTAAATTGCATTAAAAATATTAAATTTTTCATTAATAAAAAGAAGTGCTAGAGTTGTCCTGGTGAATTAGCCTGTTATTAGTCCTGTTATTAATCCCTATGCTGATGTGGATCTCGCCTTTGGCACTTCTTAGGATAAAACAGATTCTCTGTATCTTCACTGGTTCTAGGAGGTGCTAGACAAATAAATTCAACTAATTAACCATCTTTCATCTGGTTAAAATTTTATGGGATGAATCTCACTCCAACTCTAGGATGCAGAAGAAAACCCTTACATCAGATTGCTCTGCTCTCATGTCATCAGTGGATAATTCAGGTTTGAGCAGATCTCAGGAAGTCTCTGGTCCAATGTCCTGTTCAAGGCAGGGTCAACTAGGAGGTCAGATCAGGTTATTCAGGGCTTAATCCTATCTCATCTCAAAAACCTTGAATTAAATATTATAGGTAGGTAAAGAAGTATAAAAAGAAAGCTTGTGCTTCTCATTGCCTTGTTCTAAATTCTTCTGTTTAATGTAGTTTACAGGAATCTGAGATCCAGCTGTTGCAGGAAGCCAAACATCTTAGTGTAGAACTGGAACAACAGCAGAATGAACTGGAAAAAGCAAAAGAGTTCCCTGAAGAATGCTCTAGTGAAGTTTCCCAAATAAGGCAACAGCTTCTTACTTGCCAGAATGAATACGATGCTATTAAACGAAGAGAGTACGAAGTTCAAGTCAAGATGAAATGGTAGGTGGTAATGGTCAAATGCTGCTAATCTTATCATAGCTTATCTAGAAAGATAATAGCATAGAATAGAATTTCATCTCCTCTCCATTTTACATGGACACATTTCTTAATGGCTGTTGTTAAACAAGTTGCCACAAACTTTCTCCAGTAACAGCAACATTTCAGTGATGAATAAAATTACCCTAAGTGTGAGATTTGTGGATGTTTTTAATTTTAGAACATGCTCTGGTGTCCTTTGAAATACTGTTTAAAATTTACCACACTGCGTGATTAATGTTCAGACAGGCAAAATTAACAAGAACAATTCTAGTCTAGGACACCTTTAATACAAATGATTGAAGTGTCTCAGAGACCTGGTGACTGGGATTTTATGGAAACTACATTATAAAAAGACCAAATGCTATTTTTAACATCAGAAGCAGAAGTTTATTCAAGTTTTATGTTCAGGTGTTTAAAGGAGAAGTACTTCTATACTCTCGTGTCAGAAAAATGAGAAATTTGCTGTGAAAGAAGTGAATGCTTGGCACTTCTCTGAAAGGAAAAAAGATCAGAATAAGCTTGATACTGTATATATTTTAATTATCTTCATATATAAGTGTGTGATACTTGAAGCTTTTTTAGTAAAATTACAAACATTACTATTGTATTTTTTAAAAATGTATCTATGGAGATGAACTCATACTTTCATTTTGTTGGGTGGGTGCTATTTTTGCCTATCTTCAGTCCAGCTGTTATATAGTTCATGTATATAAATCCAAATAAATAATGTCAGCAGCTCAGCAGTTAAAACTCTTTTTCTGCAAGGAGAGCATAAGCACTGTATGAACTGCATAGAGCAGATTTTTCTGGCAGTTCTTTCTTGATTATTTTTTTAGAGCCAAATGTTTGCTCTAGGAGAGAAAGAAACTTGAGAGAGAAGCAAATTGGGAGTGGGAGAAATAGAGGAACATGGAAAGCATCTGGAAAAAATTATTTGGTATGAGATAACTAAGCTACATGAAGTCTCCTGAAATAATTATTAAATCCAGAATTTTTTGCAATTTCCAAGGAGTCTAGAAATTAGCTCTTCAGATATCATGCTTTTTACCCATTTGTCCTCATATCTTAAAAACATTTTTCAGTGATTTTGGATTGCTCTTCCCAAAAATGATGGAGTTTTATATGTTTAGGGGATATTTACTCATACTCTGTTTTCTGTCTCTGGTCGAAGGGAGATTTCTGTCCTACACAAAACACAGTTTAGGTATTACTTCAATTACCCTTGCATATTTGCTGCAGTAATTCTTATATATTAATTGAATATCCTATTGTGTAGATTAAAAACACACTTTTGGGGTCAGTCATGGTGTGAAAAATGTTCTTTCACTTTAATTAGAAACTTCCTCTCTTTGGTCTTGCATATTACATGAGATCAAAACCAGCTGTACAGTCTGACCAGAGGTCCATAGGGCGCAGGATCTAACAGTGACCAAACACGCAGCCATGGCCATTTCTGATACAGGGATATCCTGAGCCAAATTCCTCTGTATTTAGGAATACTCAGTTGATTCTTCTTCCTTGAACTTCTCCTGTCTCCACCTCAGCTACAGAAACTTCAGGCATTGCAACACCCTGGGCAACAAGTTCCACAGAATAACTACACAAGAGCTGCCACCTCTTATCTTTGTTGAACCTGACTCCTACACCAGCTTCTTTTCTTGTCCTGTAGTTCCTGTATTGGATAAGACACTGAACATCTGATCCCCTCTTCATCTCCACTGCTGCCAGATGGTTTGAAAGATCTCTATTACACACACACGCACATCCCCCCTCACTTAATTTGTCAATGTTCTAAACTGAAGAGCTACAGGTTATTTAAATGTTCCTTGTTTGGCATCTGTTTCATGCGTGGTGGTAGCATTGGATCTTACATGTGTTGTGGATGTGGAGTGAGGAGGATGTGCCTTGGTTATGTGTGGGTTTGTTTACTGAGAGAGAAACTGTTTTTCAGAAATAAGGGGAATTTTAATATTGGAGTAATGCAGAATAAGCAAGACTGGTAGAATACAAATCTATGTGGGGAGCAGATGAATGTATCGTAGTGGGGAAATGAGCTATGAAGACAAACAGGTAATGGCTGTCAGTACCTCTTTATAAAGAGGGGATGGGTTCAGTGTCTGTGAAAGGCAGTGAAAATGAACGTCCAGAATAGAGTTCTGAGTAGCAGGTGATGTAAAATGAAGATCTGATGTATGCCTGATGATTTTATACAAATAATAAAGCAATGTCTTCAGGAACATCTGTGTGCATGGGTGGTGTCACTGACAAAGGGGAAGCTGCATCAGAGATAGTGTAAGTTTGCCATTAGGTGACTACTTGGTTTCCTTCATTTCTCGGAAGTACAGAAACTCACAGTCCAACATTTCTTGGCCCCTGAACTCTCTGGAGCACAGGTTCTCTTGTTGTCCAACTGTGTTAATACAGTCCCAGCTCTGCTTGGCACTTAACAAGTAAACTTCTCTTTGGGAATTATGACTAATGGCTGTTTAGTCTGAAATAAACATATTGCTTATTTACCTTCATATGTATAGCAGGTAGGAAACATGGAGGGAAAAACCTTTTAAAGGGAATATCTGTGTCTCATATCTATTGCTTTACCATTTCCCTAAAAGCCTTGGATCTTGTCCACTCAGAAATACTGCTGAGCTGGAAGGGAGAGAGAGCCTCTGCAGATCTTCTGCCTCCCCATTTCTGTAATCCCTTTTTTTTTCTGAAGCATCCCTCTAGTCTCTGCTGCCTTTACCTCCTGCCTCAGTTCACTTTCTCTGGTAGCTACGGACACTCGCCACCCTTTTGGCACTCATATTCAAAACTGACAACAGTAAACTTTTTAAGAGTCATATATCTATGCCATAACAATAGCAAAGTTATTTTTTGTATTTTTTAGTATTCTATGTTCTTTTTTCCATATTTCTTTTCCTATTTGCTTGTCTCTGTAAATACTTTCTCTCCAGATCCGATAGCTTTTTCAACAGCTGAAGTTGGTTATTTCATCTTCTGTTTTAATTCTTTATTGTTCCAACAAGTATTCAACATTCCAAGAGTAAATTTAAACTGCTTTCAGCACTGTTGTGTCAGCAGGTATTCAGAAATTTTGTAACTCTTTCATAGCTTGAATAGGTGCATGAGGAATTCAGAAGCAGCTCTGATGTGCTTTAGCTGTTGGGGAAGTCACCCTGAGGGTGACTGCATGTGTATGGTGTACCCCCACTGCTGGTGCATGCCTCCTCTTCAAGTTTGTGGCACAAAATAAAGAAGAGCTGCTTTTCTTTATCAAGTAATAGTATCAACAATAGTTTATTATTGAGAAATAATAAATTTACCATCTAAATACATAGATTCATAGAATCATATAAATTAATTTAACATCTAAACTATATATTTAAAAGTAAGCAATTAATAAATGATCTATGACAGGAGTCTGTGAAGTTAAAGGTACCTGATTCTTTAAAACAATTTTCTTTTAAAGCCTAGGTCCAACCTGCAGCCCTCACAGTCATTTGTGCAGGTAGCAACGTGGCTATTCACTGAAGTACTATGCACTCTTGCATGCAAGTCAGGATTGCAAAACTGAATTTGAGCTTGTAGCAGCATTGCAAATATGGATAATTATTTCAATGCTTGTAATTATTTCAGGATTAGTCACTCAGTAATTAAAAAGTGAAAGGTTAAGCTGTTGCCCATAAAGAGTTACAAGTCAGAAGTAAAATAAATTGAGTTGAAGTTGAAGTTGTTATCAACTAGTCTTGTGACTGCGTTCTCCAGTACATACAAACTAATTACAGCTAAGAGCTGCCTCATGCTGGCAGCTTATGAGCTGTGATATCTTCTACTTGTGGTCACTATATTTTAGTTGTGAGATGCTATACACCTTCTATGGATTCCTCAGCAATCCCAGCTATGGGTCAGAGTAGCTTAAGGAGTTTGATTTCTTGCATTATGGGATTTGTAATGATAACAATATTCTGGGTATTTTGTGAGCTGAGGAACTGAAATGCACCTCCGTTGACAACTACTACTACATTTCCTAATCTCTCTGATTTAATTTTTTTTATTTCTGTGTCAGTTTGCAGCTGCAGATGTCTCTCAGGGAAAAGTCTGGAATGCATTTTCATTAATGGTCCAATTTTCCAAATGCTTTTTAAAACTCATTACATCTGCATCCATGATAGTTTTTCAAGTAGAGTATGGAAAATAAAGCAGCTCGAGAAACATTGGCAGACACCAATGCTTAAACATAAGAGTTTCATCTTCTTTTCATTATGTATGTTGTTGTAGGTATAATAATGATAATAACAAAAACCACATAATGTTGAAAAATACCCTTGGCAAAGAAGGGCTGTAAAACAATGGGAATTATAAATACCTAATGCCACTTGCAGCTGTTTTGTTTGTTGTTGTGATTGATGTCTAAGTATTTTATAGGCAGTTGTGAGGCTGATGTCCATTTATCATAGATTACAAGATTCAAATGCTAAATGGATAGACCATATTTTCCCTACTTACCTTACATTAATCTTCTGTGTCTACATAGCTATTAAATCCAAGACTGAACTTAAAATATTTGAAGAATCTTATTTGATTTCTTAATCTGAGTTAATTATCCTGGTCTCCCTTTAGAGTCAGATAGAAATATGTTATCTTCAGCCAATATTTTATTATCCTAAAACAGGTACCTGGGATATCAGATCACCTGCCCTTTGGTGATTCCTGCTTTTATCCCTAACAGTAAAGAAGCGTAGGGATGTTGGCATTGGGGTACCTGGATGACTTTTGGATATGGGCAGCTGGACCGAAAGGGAGAGATTTAGCTTCTTTCTTTTAGTCTCTCTCTTTTCACACCTTCACTGTTTTTTGTGTAATCCATCTGTCAGCTCTTAAGGTAACTCAACTTGGTGCTTGCCATTCAGTGTTGTCTCTGTTTATGTCACAGAAAATGAGGTGTTCAAATCGTTTTACTTTTGCTGGATGGAAAAGTCTTTGTTGTGAAACTGGAATGACTCCACAGGAATCTGTCCTCATGAGTGAAGAATGTGACAAAAGAAAAACAGTGTCAACTTTGCTTCCCCCCCCCCCGATTTTTGGGATTGTTCTCTTGATCGTCTGGCATGATATTAAAGAGGGCACAGCACGGACTGATGACGAGCAATGCAGCACCTCTTTAATCAGTTTGCACAGGACTTATTTAATCAGGTTTTGTGGCAGTCAAACATTTACAGGTACTTTTGCGGAATGGACATTCATTATAATTAGTGTGATTATGCCAGTCCCAAGGAGTCCAATTAGGAATCCTGCCAAAATGTGTTGGAAGTATGAATTCTTCTTATTAACTTATTTATACACTTAGACAACCTGTTGGCAAGTAAAAACATTGTGTTTGACCCATGTGGCATTCCAGTACAAAACAGTCAGTTGTAGCTTATGGGCACAGTACACAGCAGCAAACCAAAGATGCTATCACAGAATCAAAGTAGCTCAGTTTTCAGTGCAGTTTGATCCCTGTGTTCTCTCTCACTTATTGACTTTAAACTGGAACAAAAAAGGAGTAGTTCCTGACCCCTACTGCAGCAAAGAAGAAATCACTTTATGGTGTTTCCTCACTTGTACTTGCACTGTACACCTGCAAAATACACCTGTGTCTTTCTTCACTCTTCTGTGCAATTTCTTAAGTTACAATTGATTTTGCAATATAACTTTTTTATTTATCATTAATTTTATCAATTTTTGGGGAAGACTGATCTAAATTCAACTCTTTTTATTAGATTTTTTTTTTTTTTTTACAAACCAATTCATTCTGTGGTTGTTCTAGCATTCTGGCATTCAAATTACTATGCCTCATTGACTTAGTCTACATTCCCTGTCACGTTTCGGGATTGTTCTTTTCACAGAAGCCTGTTCAGATTTGAGGAGCTTCACTTACCATTGTTTACAGTGTGAATGTGTGTGTGAGCAATCACTCCAAGGAAGACGAAAGTTTCTCACTAGCACCTGTGCTATCTCTGATGTGTCGTGGCTGTGTGCATATTTATAACCCACCTACTCTTTCGTTTTGCCTCAGTTCCATGGAAAAATTCTGTTTTCTGAGGTTCAGATGAACTTTGGGTGCCTTCTGTCCTGTTATACTCTGCTAGTATAAAGACAAGGAGGAGGTAAGGCTAAGAAGAATCAGGCTCAAAAAATTTAAATGTGCACTGTAGAAAAAAACTGCATGTGTATGACTGGTCTTTCAGGACTTCCAGTTACCAGTTAGCAACCTTCCTTTAAATCTGGCCTCTTTTCGATTGTCCCTGATGACAATTCACTATGCATTTTAGTGTAACACAAGATAGGCTTCCATACTTTTTATTGTTTGGCATATTACTAATATATTTGTCTCTGTTTTTATTTTCCTGTAGCTTGCAAGAAGAAAAAAGATTTCTGGAGAGAGAATATGAAAGAATTCCAAAAGAAGGGGTAAGTATGAGACATGGGGAAAGCCATGGTTTATGTTCTGTTACCTAACATAAAAACATCAATGAAAATGTTTTGTGTAGCTCTAGAGTTTTTTTAAATGTAGAAAAATCAAGAGGTAGATTTTATAAGAGAGGCTAACACCTGGCTTTTCTTAAATTTATGCAAGATTTTTTTTTACTGTATTCAGTGAATGGATACTGCATGTAAAGATAGCTGCAAGTTTTTGGTTCAAGGATGTGAGTATGGAAAATATATTTGCAGTCATAAATCCTGATAGATATGTGTGGTTTTGTTGGAAATAAAATTCTGCTGGTTATTGATAGAAGAAACACACAGCTGATAAAAAAATATGTTTCATACCTGTTGTAAAAAATGTTTTCATCATTCAGTATTAATTCTGTAATATCATAAGCCTGTAAAATATAAAAGGTAAATTTTTTTTTTTAAGGATATAGATAAGAAAATTGAACAGTTGAAAGAAAATTGTGATGAGCTCCGCAAAGAAGTAATGCAAAGGAAAACAGAAATTAATGCAATAAAGGAAGATGTTTCATCCAAACAAAAGCTGATGTTAGCAGACAAGAAAGAAGTGGAAGAGCTTCTGGAGAAGCAGAAAAATTTAAATGTAACACAAAATTAATTGTGTGTATATGTATTGTGTGTGTGCATGTGCTTGTATGTGGATATGGGTTCACACATTTGTCCAAGGAAATGGTGAATCTTCTGGATGTTGCTTGTCATTCCAAATTCATTAGATGGCATTACGTTATATATTACATCATTTTCAATAAGCACGAAACGTGCTGCTGTGCCATATCAATTATTTCTCCTTTAGGAAATAACAGTCATGGTTTTGATTTAAAAAATGGTTTCTATAGTGACATGTTTGCTATGTTGTGTTATTTTAGGCTGCTCTAACATATGCTTAGATCCAACTTAGTATAGATTTATGCTGAGAATAAAAAAAATTACCCAGGTCTTTGCTACTTTCCTGTCCATGGTATAGATAATCAGATGTATTAATAATATTCAAGAATAATTTTTATCTTGCAGATATAATGAAATAGTAAATATTGTAATGTTTAGTTTCAAAACTAGCAGCTACAATTCCCTGGGACAAGCTCAAGTGATTCCAAAATATGTTTCATGGTCATTTTCACCACAGTTCTGGGTGAATATTACATCTATGAAATCTCACCAGATTTTGAGGCTATCAACCTAAACTTTCTGTTTTGTCACTAGGATGAGCTAGTTAGCATCCCTGATGTTACAGCACAACTGGCTGAAGAAACTGAGAAGATGAATCAGAGAAAAATGTATGCTTTTAATACCTAATTATATATACATCAATATGTATGTATGACTTCTTTTCATCCATTTGTTACAGAGATGGTTGAGTATAGTTATTGATTAAAATCAGGATCAACATTTTTAAAAGCATCTATAGTCCACTTAAAATCCATGCACTCTACTGAAAAATATATTATATGCAGTGAAACATTTAAGTACATCAAAGAAAAATTTAGGACAAAGCTTCATAGTAAAATACTTAAACCATCTTACCGTGCTGTGTTACTATATATCAGGTTTACTTAGTAGATATTTAATGGAAAATGTTACCAAGTAATCTAGTGATTAGACTTTTTTACAGTTTCTGGTCCTCAATGACTGCATATTAGCTTATCTCTGTTGACCTCAATGAGACTAGCAGCTTTCACAGCTAAGAGTCTGGCATGAGCTAAATAATCATCCTCCCTTGATACTGTCAGAGGTGCTTTGCTGTAAGCTCCTGATGTGAACTCTGGTCTCTGATATTTCAACATGGAAAATGCAAGCTAGTAGCCAGCCTTTTTTTTTTCTCTCTTTTGTGTAGTCGGGTTTTTTCTGCCCCAAAACATGACATGTGCTGCTTTCTGTTGGTGTAAAATCTAAGTACCCATGTACTTAGTAATTTTGACAGAAATCAGTTTACTAGAAGTCTTTTTAAAACTGTCACGGTGCTAAACTCCCTGTTAGTCCCATGACCATTTTCAATTTTATTGTTGAACTGTATTGGCATTTGAAGATTTGAACATTTTCACTGTATATAGTCTGCTTTAATATAGAAACATATAACGTAGATAGTTGTGATGTTGAAATGATTTTCTGTGTCCATGAAAACCTGCAACTTACATTTTGCCATTTAAATATGCATGTGGAAATGTTAACCCCTGCTGTTTTGTTAAAATATATCCACAGTGATGCAGAGAAAAAGAAAGAAGCCCTTAATGACCAGATAGAAGAGTTGAATGGTACACTGAACGCCATTGAAAAAAGGACTGAAGAGATTTTGCAAGAAAGAGAGGATGTAATGAAGGAATTGGATAGGAAACAAATTTTGCTAGAAAGAAAAGAACGAGAAGGCAATACTTTGACAAAATTACTGGAAATGGACAGAGAGAAGGAATCAGTGGCCCAATCAGACAGGTCAGAGTAGTAGATGGAAGCCATGTGGTAGGAGTGAACAATCCTCTGTTTTCATAGATCTATTTCTATTTTCTTCTGTATTGCTTATGTTTTGAAGTTTTATGCTGCAACCAGTGTGGACTAGAAATTATCAGGCTTGTTCTTGACTTCAGAAATGTTTATATAAACTGGAATCTATGATCTGGCTTGAAGACCATCAGAAAACCTAAGCAATTGATAAAATCTTGGGAAAGTGAAGCTGAATTTTGCTCTGAAAGGGGAATCTTTTAGAGGGTTTCTCTTTCCACTGAAAATATACTTTTTTACCCATGTAACCCATAGCAAGTAAATTGATTAAGTTATAAAGATGCTACCTTATTAGGAAATTTGTATCAGTAGCTTATGAGTTTATCTTGCTGCTCAGCCATAATGATGCAGTACTCAAAAACCATTAAAAAGATGTCTTGGTTACCTGTTTCTAAAATTCTGTGTCTATCTATACAGAGAAGCTCTGAAGTATAATTTAAATAAACGTGTCTTGGAGAGAAAAAAGGAATCTGATATTCTCATTCACAAGCAAGCACAGAAAGACAGAGAACTGCAAAATCTAAAAAAGATGGAATTACAACTGAATATGATTTATGATTCCTTGGAACAAGATAAGCCATATTATAAAAGACTCAAATTAGAGGTCTGTATGCATTGATCATAAGTATTCTAAATTTTCTTGTAGGAAACTGTCTTTGAAATCTTTTGACTGGTCCTAAAAATGGGAAGGGGAGAAGACTGTTTTAAATCTTATGCACATAAAAGTGTCAAGAATGTTGCTGTCTCTAACAAAGAAACCTCTAGGTGCTATGGCTGTAATAAAAATACTGCATCAAGGTATATTTGGACTATTAAGAAATTGATTTTATGTGGGAGCATTCTGTCAAGGAGAACTGGGAGAATATATTGGCAGTGTTGTGTTATGTCTTTAGAGCACTGTGGAATTGTGGTAGTTTATGAGTGAAATAATATAGTGACTTGCCCACTAGCATCAAAGAAATTTGTATCAGAAAAATACAGCCAAGTACTCCATGTCTCCCAGAAGATGAAAAAATAGATATTTTTAAAATTTGAAGGTTGTTTGTACATTATTGTAAATAATTTATAATGCATTTAGCATTATTCTAGGGGACAGGAAAGTAGCATTATATGAAGTTAGTATTGAATAATACGAAATAATTCTCTGCTTTCTCTTTGTTTCCACTCAAATTTCACCTTTCTCATTTCCTTCCCAAATTACTGTTTCACCCATTCCTCTTCCCATACTTATTTACTCTCTTCTGGTTTATTTGTCCCTTCTACTATGCTGATTGTAAAGTCTAATTCTGCTGGACTATTCAAAGCATTTCCTTTCTTTTCTCCTTCCAATTATTTCTTTAAAATATACTTTGTCTATAACTTTTTTGTATTATCTTTCTCTCATCAGTGGTTCTTCCATTCTCTCTTTCTTAAGCTTTTCTCCTATACTAGCTCCTTACTTAGTCTAAATTGTAAGTCAGTCTTATAAAATTAATCTTGCTTAGGTGAATATTTTTTTACAGGACTTGATGTTTCTTACCGTGGCACAGAGCCCTTGAAATTTTTCTTGGTCCTTCTAAGCAATTCAGAGCAGAAAAAAGTCTTGTTTACGTCACTGTAAAGTTTTTGGAAATAACTATACGATATCAAAACCCACACATACTTAGCATTGCTATTTAAACAACTCTAAACATTACTCAATATTTATTATTACTAAATAATATATTTTTTCTGTATCCCTTGAAATTCCTCCTGAATTAATTGCCTGGTAATATAAGCCTACTTAGGAGGAGGGAGGAAAGCTCTATAACTACGCCAAAAAAGTTTTACATTTAATTTCCTGATATATTGATTAAAGGTCGGGCTCATATTCCAGACTTCGATCTTAAGGCTCATACTGAGTTTCTGTTCAGTATCAGCAAACAGAGTCTAGGAAATGGTATTTTTTCCTGTGTTCCTATTGAAGAAATATTACTGGAGGGAGAATCACAATTGTTCAAAACTATGTAATGCTAAAATCGAATGCCATGACTCACCAACAGCTGTAGTTAGAGTTCACTGTCTTGGGTAAGCTCCCAACCCAACCCAACCCTTTTACACTGTGTGAAAGTACAAGAGGTCAGTAATGAGGGCAATAAGACCCATAAAGTTTGAGTTGCATTGCAGAGGATTCCCGCAGTGCTAACACTAGGCGATACTACAGGCTTGTACGTGTCCTGCAAGTAGCAGCATCCTGGGGATTAGGGGAGGCAATGACAGCAGTGGTAGAAGTGGAATTCTCTGCAGCATTTTAATCCAGAAGTTGCAGCATGCTACTCTAACACAATCAGGCAATGGCAATATAGTTGTTTTAACCCATCTTCCCCATGCTATGTGTTTTCTCTGATTCCTTTCTTGGAGCATTTAGAAGAGCAGACGTGGAAGCAGCTCTCCTCTGCAGCATGGTCAGTTCAAAAATGCAGTACTGGAGTTCAAAAAGCTGGAGTGGCAAGCTTGATTCTTCTTGGCTTTTGCTCTCTAGAGACTATTTTAATTTGGAAGACTTAGGAGCACACCTAGAAAAAGCTAAAATGTTTTAAGTAGTTAAAGTTCTTTTAACTACTTTAAAAAGCCAGATTTTTATTGATCCTGTGTGAGTCCAAGTGAAAAAAAAAAATCACAAGAATTAATTGCAAGTATAAAAATGCGATTGCAGAAGCAGCAGTACATCAGTGTGCTTCCCCAAATTTCTCCTAAATCACGTGTTAAGTGCAAAATATTGGTTTATAGAATAAGGAAATTACAGGAACACTTCCTTCAAATATGTTTTTCTTCTTAGTAAGCTGTGAAAGGTCAGCTATTGCTAAACACCAACATTCTGTGTGAAAGAGAACTGGCCGCTCTAGCTATTGCCAGCACGGAGCAGAACTGCTGTTTCTCTCCGTGCACGCCTTCTCTTCGGTGAGGCCAATGCAGAGACAGCCAAAAGTGCCTGAGTTTAGTCATGTCTTATATGAACAAAAGTCCTTAACGGATTAAAGATGTTTATATGAGCTTTCTACTTTTAGACTCAAGAACTTGATGGCACCTTTAGAATCCCATCTTGAAAATGTGGAAATGCCTACTTGCAGCCCCTACAGCCTTTTACATCGCAGAAGTGGTAACTAATATGTGCTCCACAGAAAGGCTGTGTTTGCTTCTTCCGCAAGAGTGAAAGCAATTTGCTTATAATAGGTATTTTTGACCTTTTAGCAAACCTAAGTCAAATCAAATCTGTCTCAGAGTTGGCAGCTGAAACCAAAATAACTCCAAAAGTTGATCTTTACTGTGCCTC